CTGGTCACACCCCCTTCAGGGTGGGGGTCCCCACTGGGGTGCCTGGCCAGTCTGGGTGAGGGGCTGAGGGCTGCTTTCAGGCTGGCGGTTGTTGACTGAAGCTCCCCACCGCTCCTTTTTTTTCTCTTTTTTTTTATTTTATTCTGGGCCAGCTTTAGCTCTGGCTCTAGCTCTGAGGCTTCGTATCTGGTTTGTTTGCCGTTCTATAATCGAAACAATGTATAACTTCAGCTCTGAGATCCCGGCAGGCTGAAAGCTGGTTTCTGGGCTTTTGTTTAGCTTCTACATTTGCAACATAGTACATAGTTGCTTAGAGTTGCAACTCAGAGGCCGGCAAGTTAGGCGGGGAACGTTGGCGTCTGCAGTCACTGGAGCAAGTGAGCCTCCCTGCTTGCGCTTCAGTGCATGGCTGCCGGCCGCCATCTTGGCTGACAGTTAATTTGCATAAGGATATGCTGATTAGCCAATGGGAAGGGTAGCGGTCGTACGCCAATTACCATGTTTCTCTTTTATTAGTGTAGATTACAACAAGATATTTGGAGAGATGACCTGGTTCTGTACCAGAGCTCTTTCATTTATAAGCTTTTTCAGAATAATTTTGGGTTGCATAAAGACGTGTTGGCGTTTGAAAATAATCCAAATGGAGAAAGAAATGGAAGGAGTCATTGGGCACAATGACTCTTCACATTGCAAACCATTATTCCAGAGTTGAAAATGGTTAGGGAGCAGGGCGTGGGAAAAGGGTGGGCAAGGGAATTACTGTTATACATTATAATGTATTAAATTTATGATATTTAAATTGTTTGCATATGTTAACTTTGGTAAAAAAATTTTTTTTTAATTACCTTGTTTGCTCTTCTAAATACTATAATTCTCTAGATATAGACACTCAAAACTATTTTCTGATTCTCTTTTTAGTCTTCCTAGTGATGATAATGAAAAATATGAGAAGACCATAATTAAAAGTGGAGATAAGATATTTTACAAATTCATGAAGAGAATTTCTGCTTGTCAGGAGCAAATTTTGAGGTAAAGGTACAATTTTCTTTTATTGTTTCTCTTGATATGTTAGTTTGGAAAACACAGGAAAGTAAAGTGAGAAAACCAGTATGCCTCAAACTGAAGCTAAGATTTTAGTATATTACATTCACTTATTTTTTTATGCATTTGGATGCATCGATGCAGGTAGGTATTGTGTATTTTTTAAAAATATAATTGGGCCCTGGTCGGTTCGTTTCAGTGGATAGAGCGTCGACCTGCGGACTCAAGGGTTGGGATCCTAGTATTAATACTTTTTCTTTTCAATAAACATTCATCGGTATTGAAAGGTTGTTGTATATTAAAAATTCTTCAAAATGTTTTTTCTGCTTTTTCTTAAACTAAATTTTTAATAGGTACTGTATTCCTAAGTCTCAAATATAAAAATGTGTACATAAGCATATATGTGTAAATATAATGATTCCTTTCTTGCCATCCACAGTCTACTGAGGTACCCACTGTTGTTAGTTTCCTATGTGTACTTATAGTTTCTTTATGCATGTATAAACAAATATAATGGTTATGTATTACTTTTTTTTTTACACAAAAGGATGCATTTGAGGCAGATTCTGGACCTTGCTTTTTTAACTCTACATTGTATCTAGGAGTACTGTATTTTTGTAGTACATTGAGAATTTTGTTTTAAGAAAAGCTTTATAGTACTGTGTAGTCCCTTGTCAGTATTTCTTGGACATTTAATGTTATTCCCAAACTTTTGCTACTTTAATTCCTACTGGTGATATATCAAAGTTTAATTCTTACTGGCAGTCTATAGTGTCTGTTTTCCTATAGTCTTACCAATAGTGTGAGCTTCATGCTTTTGTATTTCTACCAATTCAAGGTAAAAGGGCATGTTGGTATAATTTTACTTTTTAAAAAAAATTTTTTTTGACATCTTTATGTTTTTGAATCATTTCTATCTATTCATATCCTTTACTCATGTTCCCATAAGTTCTTAGTCCTTTTGATTTTCAGGAACTCTTATCTAGGGTATCCCCAAAAATGTATATATGCACTTTGAATAATTATAAGGGCAGTGTTTATTAAAATACATCTCATTTTCAAAATTGTGCTATCAACTCTAGCCAGTTTGGCTCAGTGGGTAGAGCATCGGCCTACAGACTGAAAGGTCCCAGGTTCAATTCTGGTCAAGGGCACATGCCTGAGTTGCGGGCTCCATCCCCAGTGGGGGGCGTGCAGCCAATCAATGATTCTCATCATTGATGTTTCTAACTCTTCCTCTCCCTTCCTCTCTGAAATCAATAAAACATAAAATTTTTTAAATTGTGCTATCAGCTGTTACAGTGTGTATATGTTTTTTTGGGGACACCCTGTATTACAGAGATTAGCCTTTATTATTATGATTAATTTTCTTGATTTGTTATTTGATTTTGCTTATAGATATATCATTGGGTAATTAAGTGTTCCCATCCAATTTGTTTCAGTTTTGCACAGTTTAGTGCTGCATTACTGAAATCAGTAAAAATACATGTAAAAATCTTCTATATTTTCTATATATAAAAAAGCCTAATATGCAAAGTGCCCCCTTGGGAGTTCGATCGGGATACTGGGCGTTCGATCGCTCACTATGATGTGCTAACCACCAGGGGGTGGTGTGGAATGAAGGAAGGCCCCGGCAGCCGGGGAAGGGAGGCCCTGGCCTGCAGCCAGAAGGCCCCGATTGACCCTGATAGCCAGCCAGGCCTAGGGACCCTACTTGTGCATGAATTTCATGCACCGGGCCACTAATAAATAAATAAAAACCTTATGCCTGGCCAGTGTGGCTCAGTGGTTAATCATCGACCCAAGAACCAGGAGGTCACAGTTTGATTCAGGGTCGGCACATGCCCAGGTTTCCGGCCATCTTCAGTGGGGGGTGTACAGGAAGCTGCTGACAATTGATGTTTCTCTCTCTCCCTCTCCCTTCCTCTCTCTGCAATCAATCTCTACTAATAAAAGGCCTATGCCATGATGCTGTAACGCGGAACGACCAAAGACTGGTCACCAGGAGGCTGTGTGCACAGTAAGGCGCACGCGGGTGGGTGGGGACTTGACTCTGGGTCCCACGTCCTGCCCGGCACTGTGGGAGTCAGTCTGGGTCCCATCAGTGCAGCAGGTCTGGGTCTTGCACGATATCGCCCACTGGGCCTCTAGTAAAAACATATTCTTAAAAATAAATAAAAGCCTTAAAAAAAATGAATCCTAGTTCCTCCACATCCTTGCCAGTACTTCATATGGTCAGTGTTTAATTTTAGCCGTATTAGATGATGTGTAGTAGTAGGAGGAGGAGTAGTATTTCCTTGTGGCTTTAATTTGTATTTCTTTAACGACTAATGATGCTGAATATCTTTTCAAGTGTTTGTTTTCCACCTGTATCTGTCATCTTTAGGAAAGTATCAGTTCAGATCTTTCCACCATATTTCTATTGGGTCATTTATTTTTTTGTTGTTGAACTGTAGGAATTCCTCATATTTTCAGTATATGAGTTCTTTTTGAGGTTATATACATTTCAAATATTTTCTCCCTTTCTGTGGCTTGCCTTTCATTTTATTAATAGGGTCTTTTGAGGCAAAGTTTTAAATTTTGATTGAGTCCAACTTAACAGTTTGGGTTTTTTTATCCCCTCTTATTTTTTTTACTTTTTAATAAGTTTAAGTCCTTGAGTATAGCATTACACAAATCCTGTGTCCAGTGGCCTTAGCAGAAGGTTGCTTTGGAATTTGTCTCGGGCCATGCCACTGATCCATGAGGACATTGACTTTCCCCAGATTGCTCTGGTTTTCTTAGGTTTCCCACCAGGAGTCACTGTTGTTTTTTGCCTGAACACATCTTTTTCCTACATGGAATTCAGTTTCATCTCAAGCATAAGCACCTTCAGTTTTAAGAAGAGCTGCCCTAGCTGGTTTGGCTCAGTGGATAGAGCTTTGGCCTGCGGTCTGAAGGGTCCCGGGTTCAGTTCCGGTCAAGGGCACATACCCGGCTCAACCCCTAGTAGGGGGCATGCAGGAGGCAGCCGATCAATGATTATCTTTCATCATTGATGTTTCTATTTCTCCCTCCCTCTCCCTTCCTATCTGAAATCAATAAAAAATCCTATACAGTAGGTCCTTGGGTTACATCAGAGATCCGTTCCTAAGGCGCGTCGTAACATGATTTTAGCCATAAGTTGGAACCCACCTACATAAGCACCTACGTCACTCACATGGAGCACATACTCAGCAGTAATGAAGTGAAACAGTAAAAAAAATTTAAAAGAAAGATAATTTCTGACCTTTACTTCTGGTAAATAAATAATAAACATAAAGCACATATGTACGTACATATGTCGAAATGACGGAACTTTTTTTTTATATAAATAAATGGGAGATGGCGACATAACCATGAAATGACATACGTCGAGGCTGACGTAACCCAAGGGCAGTCTTCCGTATAATAAAGAGCTAATATGCAAATGGTCGTCATGCCCTCGTACCCTTGTGCCCTCACTCCGGGGATCAGGGGACCTGAGGCCGTGCCCCCTGCCCCAATGCTGGAGCTGGGGGACCTGAGGCTGCGCCCCTTGCCCTGTGGGGCTTGACGGGGGTGGGGATGGCCAGATCTGGGTCGCGCAATTTTGAGGCGTGCGCGGGTGGGTGGGGACTTGACTCTGGGTCCCGCGGCGCATCCTAGACTCTGACAGGAGGGAGATTTTCATAGTTTTGCTAATTTTCTTTCATCTCTGTCACTTCTATTATAGAGAAAGGGTATATAGCAATATTAAAATATTTCTTCTAATTAATTCCCTTTTAATGTGCATGAATTTTGTGTACTGGGCCACTAGTTTAAAAATAAGAAAGAAGAGCTGTGTGCTCCCTCTGGTTCTAGAGACCCCACTTACAGCCAGCAGCCTTCCAGACATATTTGTTGTTTTAGAGTTCCTGTTCCCAGATGGTAGAGAGGCTGGTTTTTTGTTTTTGTTTTGCTTAAGAAAGTTCTGCCTAAACCAAGATAAAGAAGGGTTTTTTCTGTGTTTTCTTGTAGAAACTTTTAGTTTCAGTTTTTACATATAGGTCTGTGATCCATTTTCAGTAAATTTTAATATATGACATATGAGGATCAAGGTTTATTTTTTTCCATGTGAATATCCAATTGTTCATGCACCAGTGTGGTCCCTCAGCGTGGCCTGCGGGAATCTGGGCAGAGCCACTCCCACTATGAGAGTGCACTGACCACCAGGGGACAGCTCCTGTGTTGAGCATCTGCCCCTGGAGGTCAGTGTGCATCATAGCAACCAGTTGACCAGTCGCTTAGGCTTTTTTTCAGACATCCCTCTCACAATCCGGGACTAATTGCCCCTGTTTCTGCCTGCCAGCCTGATCACTCCCTAACCGCTCCCGGCCTGTCTGATTAACACCTAACTGCTCCCTGCCAGCTTGATTGCCCCCACCTGCCCTCCCCTGCCGGCGTGATGGTCCCCAACTGCCCTCCCCTGCTGGCCTGATTGCCCACAACTGCCCTCCCCTGCCGGCCATCTTGTGACGGCCATCTTGTGATGATGTCACGTGTGACGCCACTAGGCTTTTATTATATGGAATTAGTGTTGTCTTCTTATCTCTTGCTGGGAGAGGAATGTTAAAACCTCCAACCCACAACTGCCCTCCCCTGCGGGCCTGATTGCCCACAACTGCCCTCCCCTGCCGGCCATCTTGTGACGATGTCACGTGTGACGCCACTAGGCTTTTATTATATGGGATTAGTGTTGTCTTCTTATCTCTTACTGGGAGAGGAATGTTAAAACCTCCAACTATGATTATGGATAGCTTTTTCTCCTGTCATTTTGTCTCATGCATTTTGGTGCTGTTTTAAGTTATGTACACTTAGTGTTGTTATATTTATCTGAGGAATTGGCGGTATTATAATTATGACATGTTCCTATTTATTTCTGCTCATACTCCTTCCTTTGAATGTATTTTGTCTGATGTTAATATAGCCACACTAACCTTCTTTTGTTTAGTCTTTGTTCACTCTTTTACTTTCAACTTCTTTCTTATATTAAATATAAAGTGTATTTTTATATAAGTTATCAACTTATTTAAACTAAAAAGTAAACAAAAACAGTTCACCTATTTGCCTACCTCCCAACCTCCACCTCTGGCAATGACCAGTCTGCTCTCTGTATCTATGAGCTTGGTTTTTGTTTTCTTTTAGATTAATTCTGCATATAAGAGAGATCACATGGTATTTATCTTTCTCTGACTTATTTTGCTTAGAGTCAGTCCATGTTTACATAAATGGAAATATTCATTCTTTTATATATGTACTAGAGGCCCAGTGCATGGGAATCGTGCACTGGTGGGGGGCATGGCCTGCAGGGATCGGCCCTCTGTGGGAGCACCACTGCTCATCCCAGTCAGCTGAGTGGCTGTGGACCCACCCTCTGAGCGGCTACTCCCTGGTCCGGCATCTTCTGTGGAGCCGGAGCACTTGCCTCTCCAGGGGACCCAGTAGGAGCTGTGCCCAGAGACAGTAGCACTGAGAGATGGCAGAGTAGGCCTCAGTCCTGTGGCAGCCATGAACCTGCTTCCAAGCCTCCAGGGTCAGCTCTGCACAGCCTGCAGGCGTCCAGAGGAGGCGGCAGGGAGCGAGGAGGAGGAGGAGCCTGGAGCAAGGAGGCAACAATCACAGCCTGGGTTCCTGCCTGTTGGCCCAGGGTTTTCGGCGGGAGCAGCCACTCACCCCAGTCAGCCAAGCGGTGCTCCCACTGTGGTAGCTCACTGACTACCAGGGGGCAGCTCCTGTGTTGAGCGTCTTCCCCCTGGTGGTCAGTGTGCGTCATAGCGACTGGTTGACCAGTCGTTCTGGTTGTTCTGCAGTTTGGTTGCTGGGCTTTTATTATATAGGATATACACACACACATATATATATACACACTTATACCACAATTACTTTTTAATTTTGTTTCAGAGAGGAAGGGAAAGGGAGAGATAGAAGCATTAATGATGAGAGAGAATCATTGATGGGCTGCCTCCTGCATGCCCCCTAGTGGGGATCAAGCCCACAACCTGGGCAAACCAGCCAGGGCTATACCATAATTTCTTTACCAATTTATCCATTGATGGACACTTACGTTGTTTCCATATCTTGGCTAGTATAAATAATGCTGCAATTGCCCTAACCGGTTTGGCTCAGTGGATAGAGCGTCAGCCTGCCGACTGAAGGGTCCCAGGTTCGATTCCGGTCAAGGGCATGTACCTTGGTTGTGGGCACATCCCCAGTGGGGAGTGTGCAGGAGGCAGCTGATCAATGTTTCTCTCTCATCAATGTTTCTAACTTTCTATCCCTCTCCCTTCCTCTCTGTAAAAAAATCAATAAAATATATTTTTAAAAAAGTAATGCTGCAATGAACATGGGGGTGCATCACATATCTTTTCAAGTTACTGTGTTTATTTTCTTTGGATAAATACCCAGAAGTGGAATTGCTGCATCATATGGTAGATCTGTTTTGAATTTTTGAGGAACCTCCATACTGTTTTCCATGTTGGTTGCACCAATTTACATTCCCACCAACGGTCCACAAAGGTTCCCTTTTCTTCACATCCTCACCAATACTTGTTATTTCTGTTGTCTTTTTTTTTTTTTTTTTATTGATTTTTTACAGAGAGTAAGGGAGAGGGATAGAGAGTTAGAAACATCGATGAGAGAGAAACATCGACCAGCTGCCTCCTGCACATCTCCTACTGGGGATGTGCCCGCAACCCAGGTACATGCCCTTGACCAGAATCGAACCTGGGACCTCTCAGTCCGCAGGCCGACGCTCTATCCACTGAGCCAAACCGGTTTGGCATTTCTGTTGTCTTTTAAAAAATATATTTTTATTGATTTTTAGAGAGAGGAACATCGATGTGAAAGGGAAGCAGGATCAGCTGCCTCCTACACACCCCCTACTGGGGATGTGGCCCACAACCTGAGCATGTGCTCTGTCCTGGAATCGAACCAGCAACCTTTGAGTGCACAGGATGACGCCCAACCTACTGAGCCACACAGGCCAGGCTGTTATTTCTTTTTGATAATAGCCATTCTAACAGGTGTGAGGTAATGATCTAAAATATTTTTCTTAAGCAGCTTAAATATATGGGTTTTGCCTTTTTAAAAATCAGGCTGTTTGCCTTTTGCCTTTTACATGTTTTGTGTGTTTTTTTTTGTAATCCTCACCTGAGGATATTTTTTCCATTGATTTTTACAGAGAGTGGAAGGGAGGACCCAGGGGAGGAGAGAGAGAAAGAGAAAGAGAGAGAAACACGTCAATGTGAGAGAGACACAGTAATTGGTTGCCTCATCGAACTTGCAACCCAGGTACATGCCCTTGACCTGGAATCAAACCTGAGACCCTTTGATACAAGGGCTAGTGCTTTAACCACTTCGCATACCAGCCAGGGCTATGTGGTTTTTAGTCCTTTAATGTAATTACTGGTGGTGTGGGTTAATTTTAATCATTCTGGAATTGGATTTTTCCCTTTGTTTATTTTGCACCTGTTTTCCATTTTGGTTAACCTTCTTTTCAGTGAATTGAGTTTTTTTAGTTTATGATTTTTTCAAATATATTTTTATTGATTTTAGAGAGGAAGGGAGAGGGAGAGAGAGAAAAAAAAACATCAATGATGAGAGAGAATCATTGATCAGTTGCCTCCTTCATGCTCCCCACTGCGGTTGGAGCCTGCAATCCAGGCATGTGCCCTGACCAGGAATCGAACTGTGAACTAATTTATATAGGTTGATGCTCAACCACTGAACCACACCAGCGGAGATGGTTTATGATTTTATCTCCTTTCTTAACTTTCTGTAATAGCTCTGTAGCCTTTTAGTGCTTGCTTTAGTGATTATAATGTACAGCTTTGACTTATTAGTCTACCTTCACTTAGTAGTTTACTCCTATGAACTGAGAACCCATCCAGATTCCCATTTACCTTTCTCCTGCCCTTTGTGATCTTGTTTTCATATATCCACTTCTGTAGATGCTATATACCCCATAAACATTATTATTTTTGCTTGAAATAATCAATAGTTTTTAAATAAAAGAAATGTATGTGTGTAAAATGAAATAAAAATACTTGTTAGAAGGGCTTTTCTATTTATTCACCTATTTAACCTCTTGGTGCTCTACATTTCTGCATGCAGATATGGGCTTCCAGGTGCTATTTGTCTGAAGAACTTATTTTAATTGTTTTTTTGAAGTGAAGACTTGTTGGAGACAGTCTTTAAGGTTATGTCTGTCTAAAAAATGCATTAATATTTCTTTTAATGGACATTTTTATTAGATATAAATATTACTTTTTACTTTTTTCTTTCAGTACTGAAAAGATTTTGTTCTATTATCTTCTTTATTGTATCCATTAGAAATTAATTCTTATTGTTATTCTGTTTTTAACATATATTTATACTTTGTGTACTTTAGAATTTGTGTGTTTCAATTTATTCTGCCTGGGATTTGCTGAGCTTTTTGGATTTATGGGTTGATTACTTTTCATTAATTTTGGAAACATTTTGGTCATTATTTTCAAATATTTTTTCTATCTTTCCTTCTAGGACTCTAGTGAATTGCATGTTAGATTATATGAAATTGTCTCATGATTTTTAAAGCTTTTTTTCCTTTTGTTTTAAATTTTCACTTTTTGTTTCATTTTGGATATTTCTATTTTCCTCAGACATACAGATTTTTTTGTTTCCAGTCTACTATTTTCCTTTATTGAATGAAGTTATTTCTGATATCACATTTCTGTTTCAGTCTTGTCGTTTCCATTTCTATGTTAAATTCCTAATCTGTTTATTGCATGGTCACCTTTTCTTCTAGATTTTTTTACATGTGTATTATTGGTATTTTAAAATCTTTTTCTGATAATACCATTATCTTGTCTATGGGTCTCCTTGTATTGACTTGCCTTATGGATTAAATTTTTCTTTTTTTAAAAAAATATACTTTATTGATTTTTTACAGAGAGGAAGGGAGAGTGAGATTTAGGAACATCAATGAGAAAGAAACATCGATCAGCTGCCTCCTGCACACCTTCTACTGGGGATGTGCCTGCAACCAAGGTACATGCCCTTGACCGGAATCGAACCTGGGACCCTTCAGTCCGCAGGCCAATGCTCTATCCACTGAGCCAAACCGGTTAGGGCTGGATTAAATTTTTCTGCTTCTTTGCATATCTAATAACTTTTTTTTAAAAAAAAGGTTTACCAGAAATTATATGTTGAAGAAAGGTAGTTACTAAAGTAAATATTTACTCCTTAGAAGGGCATGCAAGTAGTGAGGAGGTCTGAGTTGATTTAATTTGCAGTTGAGCTGAATCTGGGCTTTGTGGCATTTTTACTTAGATTCATTTCTACATTGGCTTTTGTGCCTTCATCCAAACTTTGAATCAAGTATTGATAAAACTTCAGATATCTTGCCATGCTTTACAGGCTTGCTGCTGGTGTTGTGGGCCTATGGATTTTCTTTTTTTCTGGCTTAGAGCTGGTACTCTGCAAGAAAGAAACACAGTTTGCAAAGTGAGCTCTTAGATGTTGCAATGTGACTTGTACGTGGTCCTGACTCTGTGTTTTTTGTTTCGGTGCCCTAGGTATTCCTGGAGTGGACAACCACTGTTTTTGACCTGCCCTACATCAGAAGTCACTGAGCTCCCAGCCTGCAGCCACTGTGGAGCCCAAAGGACATTTGAGTTTCAGCTTATGCCAGCACTGGTCAGCATACTAAGAAGTGCTAATTTAGGTAATAAGCCCTTTATTAATTTGAGTTTGTGGATTTATGACACTAAATTGGAATTATTTTTAAATGAAAGACTATTTTGTTTTACTTATTAATAAAATATAAACATATTACAGAAAATTTGGGAAATTGAAATTATGGTAAGGAAATTTATAATTCAATCAATCTAATGAATGTATTGATAACAAGTTAGTTGATTTAAGGCCACACTATTTTCTGTCCTTAAAATTACTTTCATCTCACCCTATCCGGTTTGGCTCAGTGGATAGGGCAGACTGAAGGGTCCTGGGTTTTATTCCGGTCAAGGGCACATGCCTGGATTGCGGGCTTAAACCCCAGTAAGGGGTGTGCAGGAGGCAGCCAATCAGTGTTTCTCTCTCATCATTGATGTTTCTCTCTCCCTCTCCCTCTCCCTTCCTCCACTGGGGATGTGCCCGCAACCCAGGTACATGCCCTTGACCGGAACCAAACCCAGGACCTCTCAGTCCACAGGCCGACGCTCTATCCACTGAGCCAAACCGGTTTCGGCTGAAATAAATAAAGATATATTTTTAAAAATTTATTTTTATCTCATTATAATATAATTAAAATGTATTATTCTTTTACAAATTGCATTTACATGATTATAGTTATTTTTAGAAATTTTTAGAAAAAGATGAAAAGACCCTGGCTGGGTGGCTTAGTTGGTTGGAGTGTTGTCCCGTATACCCAAATGTTGTGGGTTTGATTCCCTAGGGCATATACCTAGGTTGTGGTTCCATCCCAGGAGGTCACCCACAGGAAGCAACTGATAGATGTTTCTCATCATTGATGTTTCTCTCTCTCTCTCTCTCTCTTTCTCTCTCAAATCAATAATAATAAAAAAATGTCCTGTACAGGAGGCAGTCAAACAATGATTCTCTCTCATCATTGATGTTTCTATCTCTCTCTCCCTCTCCTTGCTCTCTGAAATCAATAAAAATATATTAAATCTTAAAAACAAAACAAAAAGAAGCCCTAGACTGTCTGACTCAGTGGATAGAGCGTCAGCCTGCAGACTGAAGGGTCCCAGGTTCAATTCCAGTCAAGGGCACATACCTTGGTTGCAGGCTTCTCCCTGGCCCAGGCCCTGGTCAGGGCTCATGCAGGAGGCAACCTATTGTCTCTCACATCAATGTTTCCCTCTCTCTTCTCTCTTAAAAAAAAAAAAAAAGGAAAAAAAATCCACAGGGG